AGGATACTGTCCATAATAGGCCAGTGCAGTGGCTTACGCCTAAAATCCCAGCACTTTGGGAGACCAAGGTGGGCAGATCACCTGAGGTCAGGAGTTCAAGACCAGCCTGGCTAACATGGCAAAACCCTGTCTCTATTAAAAATACAAAAATTAGTCGTGCATGGTGGTGTGCACCTGAAATGCCAACTACTCAGGAGGCTGAAGCATGATTGCTTGAACTCTGGAGGCAGAGGCTGCAGTGAGCCAAGATGGTGCCACTGTACCCTAGCCTGGTGACAGAGTGGGACTCTGCCTCAAAAAAAAAAAAAAAGAAAGAAAAAGAAAAAAAATGTTGTTCATAATATACAAAGAGTTCTTAAAACTAAACAATAAGAACACAACCCAATTAAAAATGGGATCCAAAAAAGACTTGGACACCTCACCAACAAAAGATATACAGATGGCAAATATGCATATGTAAAGATGCTCCACATCATATGTCATCAGGGAAATGCAAATGAAAACAACAGTGAGATGCCACTACCTGTTAGAATGTCCAAAATCCAGAACACTGACAACACTAAATGCTCATGAGGGGTGGCACAACAGAAACTCTTATTCATTGTGGGTGTGAATGTAAAATGATATAGTTACTTTGGAAAACAGTTTGACAGTTTCTTATAAAACTCAACATACTCGCACCATATGATTCAGAAATCATGCTCCTTGGTATTCACCCAAAGGAACTGAAAACTCATGTTCCCCAAAACTTTCATGCAGATATTTATAGTAGCCTTATTTATAATTGTCAAAATTTGTAAGCAACCAAGATTTTTTTCAGTAGGTGAATGAATAAATGGTGGGACATTCAGACAATAGAATATTAGTCTGTGCTGAAAATAAATGAGGTACCTAGCTATGAAAAGTCATAAAGGAAACTCAATTGCATATTGCTAAGTGAAAGACGGCAATCTTGAAAGGCTATATACTATATAATTCCAAATATATGACACTCTGGAAAACGCAAACTAGACAGTAGAAAGATTGGCAGTTGCCAGAGTTTGGGAGGTGGGAGGGGTAAATAGATGGAGCACAGAGAATTTTTAGGGCAGTGAAACTATTCTATGCTACTACAGTGGTGGATACATGTCATTATACATTTGTACAAACTCATAGGATGTACATTACAAAGAGTAAATCCTAATGTAAACTATGGACTCTGGGTGATAATGATGCGTTGATTAAGGTTTATCGATTGTACCAAATGTTCCACTCTGGAGAGGGGATGTTGCTAATAGACGAGGCTGTGCATGTGAAGGTACGAGGTGTATGTGGACTATCTCTCTACTGGCCTCACAGTTTTGCTTTTAACCTAAATCTCTTTAAAAATAAATTCCACTTTAAAAAACCCCAAAAGCCCCATATATATAATTATTGCATTTTCTAATCCTTGATACAGGAATCAACTGGTGATTATCAAGAGAATATTTCCCAAAGCGTTTTACCAAAAACACAAAGTCCTGGCTGGGTGCATTGGCTCATGCCTGTAATCCCAACACTTTGGGAGGTCGAGACTGGAAAATTGCTTGAGCCCAGGAGTTTGAGACCAGCCTAGGCAACATAGCGAGACCCTGTCAGTACAAAAAATTAAAAAAAAAATCAGCCAGGCATGGTGGCATCATCTGTAGTCCTAGCTACGTAGTAGACTGAGGCCGGAGGATTGCTTAAACCCAGGAGATTGAGGCTATATTGAACTGTGATCACCCCACTGCACTCCAGCCTGGGTAACAGAGTGAGACTGCCTTAAAAAGAAAAAATCAAAACACAAGTCCTGCTAATCTCAAGTGATAAGGATTTTGTGGTTTAAATACTTGCAGAAATTCTAGATTATAGATTTATTTAGTGCAGAGCACTTCATACTCTTTTCAAATAGCAAAGCACATTGGGTGTCTCTTTGCAGGGATAGAATATGAACATTTCTCCAGTTTATTTGATCATGGTACTCCCTTGTTCTCTCCCCTGCCCCTTTTTTTGCTCTTTCTCTCTCTCTCTGCATGTGCATGTACATGTGCGTGTGTGTTTGTGTGTTTTATTCTGTGCCCTTGTCCAGTAGAACTCATTTTGGAAAACGATGCTTTATCTTTTTATACTCTCATCTAACACTCATATAAGTCTGCTGCATTCTTTCTTAGCAACATCCCTGCTGGTGTTTTGAAGGTCAAAATATAATATTGTGCCAGATAAAAACATGTTCTTCCTATTTTCTAGACTTTAAAGATTACTAGAGTTTTTCTTTTGAACTGCCTACAGTGAGTTCATCATGAATATCTTAGAATATTTTTTAAAGGAAAACTTTCTCAAAGTAACAGGTTAACACTTTGAAATTGAAAAAATAGGAACAAACAATAAGAAAAAAGGGAACACATGGACACAGGGAGGGGAGTACTAAACACTGGGGTCTACTGGGGGGAAAAGGGGAGGGCCAGCGGGGTGGGGGAGCTGGGGAGGGATAGCCTGGGGAAAAATGACAAATGTGGATGAAGGGAAGAAAGGAAGCAAAACACACTGCCATGTGTGTACCTATGCAACTGTCTTGCACGTTCTGCACATGTACCCCAAAACCTAAAATGCAATAAAAAATTTAAAAAAAAAAGAAAGAAAAAAGGTGACAGTTGAAATACATTGCAAATATTTACTTCCCCACAGTCTTTCATCTCCAATTTGAAAGAATTCTGTTTTGTGAATTAATAAAAATTTCTCCCCTGTCTGATTCAAGCTCACTTTCAGGTAATGCTTGTGCAATGTTCATAACCAGAAAGATACGTTAATAACTGTAACTATTCATGTTGTATAGGCAAGGATAATTGCCTGAAAGCAAATGTATCTTTTTGAAGAATGAAGGGAATGGCAATGGCCAAAGTCGGCTAATAGAACATGCTACCCATGGCTATGAGTTGTAAAATGCCTACATAGACAATCAAGAGTCCATGTGGAATTTTTTTGAAATCCAGGTCTAGCTAGGAATTAAAAACAACAAAACAACAACAACTACAACAAAAACACACTTTTGACCTAAACTGTTGTTTTTGTAGCCATCCCCCAAAAAGTAATTCACATATTCCTGCAAAACCTCAAATACAAATTAACATTTCTAAAGCATGTGAACAGTTTCGTGGGAAGACCCATGAGATGCTGGCAGGCATGCTTAGTCACCCTGCTGTCCTGAACTCTGAGTGAGTCATGGAGCCCGAGGGATCTATCTAAACTAGGGCTTCATAACTAAAGCAGATGGCAGGCCTATTTGTATGTGGCAGTTTGGGGATAATAATTCAGTTCTTAATAGAGAATAAAGATGGATTTAATAAATTTAGTAAAGCCTGTAATTAAACAAGTTAAAGGTCTTTAAAACTATCCAATAACTGATTGTATTTTTCTAATTTGTCCTCTCAAACTAAATTTGACCTGTCAGGCTAACACAGCTCCATGTGACCTGTCAGGCTGACACAGCTCCATGTACATTGGTTTATTGAAGGGAGGCACCAAAATCATTCCGAAGCATAGAGCTTGGATCGCACAGTCTTGAAGGAAAGCAAAAGAGGGACTAGAGACTGCACTGTAATATTTCAGTTACTTTTAATTTGTCTTCAAAGCAGCAGTGTGAGTTTAGAAATGCCATGTTCTGCTCTTTCTTCACATTATTGGGAACTTACGATTTTTAAAAGATTTAAGACATGAATTCTACAGGTGCTTCACTTCTTTAACAGCAGATACTTGATTATTTAGATTTAATTGCTTAAGCATATTTTGTGAGGAAAAAATTAGAAGTTTAACATTTGTATGTATTGGTTCACCAATATTATATTTCTCTTCTAGTCACTCCCAGGGATGTTTTCCTGATAGCTAAAAATATTTAAACACTACCTGAAACCTAAACCCTACCTCAGACCCTATGCTGTAGAGTTATTCTTAGTATCTCATTTTTCAGAAGAGGTAACTGAAGCAAGCAGGTGGTAAGAAATTCACCCACCCAGCATTGCCCAGTTAGCGTAGAGCAGAACTGGGATTTGAACTTGAGTGCTTTGTCCTTAGAGCCTGTGCTCTTAGTCTTGATGCCTGGAGTCTTCCAGATAGGGTCTTCCTACAGTATGGAAGAGACTCATTCTGAAACCACTGTAAGTCCTTGAGCCATTTATTTCTCATTAACCGAGTGTGTTGGAAAAAAGGAAGCACACGTGAGAGTGGCGAAAAATGCCACAGTATCAGATGAATTCTGAAAGATGAGATTCCAAATGTTTTGAACCATGGTAACCACCTTAGCTGTGCCTTCTTCCCTGATAGCTATTTTGTAGTGTTCATTAGGATGCACAAGTGCCACTACATTTGTAAGATGTTAGCCCCATCACATTGTGGTCACATTCCCTATATAGTAATCAACATGGGTAAGTGGCAAGCTAATGTTGGCCAACCAATGTTCTTTTTTTAATGCTAGAGAAGGAAGTAAGTAAAAGCAAAGATGAAGCACTACATTGGTTTCATTAAGATTGTGCTTCTAGGAAAATGTTGTGATGGTAGAGCAATCAGGTGAATGAATAATTGTCTTTAATATCCACAGACGAATAGTGGGTAGTTCAGGCTCACATGCTGTGATATAAACAGATACTAACTCTGTGGTCAAAGTAAATTCTACATAGCTCCCTCCATTTCTGCAGGTCCCCAGGATGCTTGTCAAGTTTCTTTTCTTAGGGATCTTTCCTTCTCTTAACTGGAGAAATGCCCTCTGATAAACAAATGAACCCTGCAGTCTCCACAATCTGCTTCAAATTATGGTTGTTTATTGTGGATTGCAATGTGCCAGCCTCAGCCCTATTGAAACTCTTCTTTGAATGAATCTCTGGTTTGCGTGGTTGGTACTCTCAGCTAACCAGCATCCAGAGTCCCACTGATCTTTTATAACACTCTGAACAACTTTTACAGTAATTTCATGCCTTTGACTGCAAAATTTGGGTGTCTTCTATTTCCAGTGCTTCAGCTTAAGTGTTTGAGGACTTTATAACATTCCCATTGTGAGTGCAGAGCTTCAAAAGTATTTATCAACAATGTTAAATGAAGCCACCTGTCACAAAATTAACTGGTGCAAAGCTCATTGTTATATTTGATAACATTTTCATCTCTATGAAAGAAAGCAATGTTTCATCTTGGTAAGTATGATTTGTATGGACAGTCTTTCTTCCTGGCAAATGTTGCTATCTGTTTCCCGGTATTCATTTTCCCCTAAGTTATAGGCACGCCTCTCGGTTATAATTCCCATCTTCTCTTTAAGCTCTTAGATGTAAGTAGAAGTTGCTCTTTGGGACTTGCAGAAGGGCTGAAAGGAAGCAATAAGCTAGGAAGTGAAATTTTTGGATTTTTTTTCTCCCTGGGGAGCAGGCTGATGGCCAGAGATCTAACAGCTATCATGGAGCATTAAGTAATTCTGAAGATGCTAAGGCTTATCTTGACAGAAGAAACCAAGTCCCTGATGTTCATAGGCAGACCTATTCTAGCCTTCCTATTTCTTTATTTCTTTTGTGTGAGAAACAAATAAATTTCTATTTTGTTTAGGGCTATTAAACTGTTTTTCTCTCTTTTCATCTGTTTGGCTTAATGCTATTTATAGACAAACTCAGTTCTAAGAATACATCAGCTGATTTAAGTGAATATTCAAACAAAGGTTTAATGGTATGGTATAGTAAAGATGTTAATAAGAATTTCTTGATCTATCAAGACTTCTAAAAGAATAAAATATTTTTCTTCAAGTTTCTAGTCTAAATTAGGGTGAGTTTTTAATAGCTGACCAAAAATAATGCAATACAAAATTGTCATGACCAACTGGAAGATGTGTGGGATAGCTTCGAAAAAGATCAGCCGGCCTAGGCTGAACAGCATTTCTCAGAATTTCCTTTCCTGAATGTTTACAGAGATAGTAGGCCATGAGAAAGATCCCTTAAGATATTTGGAAAGCAGAAGCAAGCTTCGGGGATTTTGTAGCTTACACAATGTTGTTGCATATCGCGGGGTCATCTTGTTAGTGTGAGGCAGCAGCCAGGCCTGCGACTACTCCACCTTCCTCTGGATCCTCCTTCAGCTTTTTGGAATCCTGGGCCACATGTGTGTGCTTAACACTATGCTGAAAGCCTGGGATTTCTGTAGACACCCAATCATCAAGGTCAGAGGAAACAGGGACTGATGTGGATTTCAGTCTGTCTTTATGGACTCCAGCCCTTATCTGGGGATTCTAGCTTTTTCTTGCTCCCCCTGACGGATTGACATGGTTTGAATATTTGTCCCCGCCCATATCTCATGTTGAATTGCAATCCCTAACACTGGCAGTGGGTTCTGTGGGAAGTGTTTAGGTCATGGGGACAGATCCCTCCTGGGTTGGTTCTGTCTTCACAATAGTGAGTTCTCACAAGATCTGAGATCTGTTTCTTTAAAAGTGTGTGACACTTCCCTGCCCCATTCTCTTTCTCTTGCTCCCATTCTTACCATGTGATGTTGTTCTTGCTCCCCCTTTGTCTTCAGCCATGATTGGAAGCTTCCCGAGGCCTCCCGAGAAGCTGATGCCACTATGCTTCCTGAACAGCCTACAGAAACATGAGCCAATTAAAATTCTTTTCTTATAAATTTCCCAGTCTCGGGTGTTTTCTTTATAGAAATGCAAGAATATCTAATACACCCACTTTATCTTCATCTATTTTTCCTAATACATGAGTGAACTTCAAGCTCTGTCAGCAGGTTCAAAGAATATAACCATACAGAGACCACCTTGTCAGCTCCCACAATTGCAGAAGGCCAAATCCCTGACACAAGTTAATTCACATTATAGGTTGCTCAGGTTGTTCTACTTTTCTGATTGCATCTTAACTGATACAATGCACCCTTCCAAAATACCCTGAAATTGAAGAGGAATAAATAATGTAAGATGTGCCAATTAGGGATAAAATGCCAAAAATAAAATATAACTAGACAGAGTGGAAAAGCAGGAATCCTATGTATCATTTTTTATTTTCCTACATGATTATTTAATTCAACAAATATTTATTGGATGATAAATGTAAGACACTGTCTGCTTTCACTAAAATTAAAATTATGGGCAATAGATTAAGTCTTTCCAACCTGGTATTTATTGTGCTGGGTATTGGGCATATAGTAATGTACGGAACAAATGCCCCTCCCACCCATGGAGGCATTCTAGTTCTCAACCAATATTCTGGTTTGTTGAGGCATTCAGTAAATATCTACAGGCTTGGCGAAGTGGCTCAGGCCTGTAATCCCAGCACTTTGGGAGGCCAAGGCTGGTGGATCACCTGAGGTCAAGAGTTTAAGACAAGCCTGGCCAACAAGGTGAAACCCAGTCTCTACTAAAAATAAAAAAATTAGCCACACATGGTAGCATGCACCTGGAATCCCAGTACTGGGAAGATTGAGGCAGGAGAATCGCTTGAACCCAGGAGGTGGAGGTTGCAGTGAGCTGAGATCACACTATTGCACTTTAGCCTGGGCAACAAGAATGAAACTCCGTCTCACACAAAGAAAAAAGAAAGAGAAAAACTACGTATCATATGTAATATGTACATATCAGACTAAATGAAATTTTAAAAAATCAAATAGAAGGAATAAGCCCTACATTGCATGAAATTAGCAAGGATTTAGAGACAATATGTGCAAAGTGCCTGACTCAGGGTAGACCTTCCAAAAACAATAGCTATTGTTTTTATTAGAATTGTGGCAGAGGGATAAAAAGGAGGAGGAAGGTGATAAAAATCCATAGAGGAGGAATCACTAAAATTCAGTAACTAATTACTTGTCTTGAATTCTGGCCTCTACAATATGAGAAAATTAAATAACTAAACAAAAGACATTATTCTCCATATTGATGAGAGAGTAAAAGAAAAACTTTATTGGGAGAGCCAGACAAGATAAGGCAGTCTGAAATGTCAGGAAAGAGTGTAAATGACCATAAGGGGGAACAGGAGGGCACCCATCTGGTAAAACCCTGTGTACAGTGCTGAATCTCTGTCTGTGGAGAGCTCTAATAAGAGAATTAAATAATGTAAAAATTGATTGATTTAGTCCCTTCTGCTTAGACGGACACAGCTGCAAGCCTGTATCACTTTGTGATCATCGGATTCTCAGACGATAGTTTCTGCTGGTTTTTGGACCAGACCACAAAGGAAATAGGCAGCCTGGGGTGTGATGGGGTCCAACTGAACAGTCCATTATTTTAGCTCCTGGTCCGCTGGTGTGGAACTGGAGGTGGAGACCAAGCCTTGCATCTGCTGAGTAAGCCTCCCTGAAACCCCTGCACAAGCCAAGATTGCCATTCTCATTTGCCCTCCATGATTAAACACCCAAAACAAGGTAAAGATCTGATTATTATCTTTAAGACACATTTATAATTTCATGAAGAAAACGGAATAGTATGTTCCATGTTGTTAGGGGCATTAAAGACAAAGTTTAGCAGTTAATAAGGCCAATTGAGATGTAATGGGCTTCATTTCAGCTGGAAATAATAACCCCACCTCACATAATTGCACACAGCTGCAAGTCACTGATCATTTGTGTGATGAGGGTGATCCATGCTGAAGAATTAGTGAGGTGCTGCAGAGAGGGTGAGAAGGCAGTTCCAGCAGAGACTGTGTGGAGGTGAGGAGTGCCGTGTCTGACCAAATGGTCACCATGACCTCAGGTGACTGCAAAGGATGCTTCAGCTTAGCTGGGTGAGTGAGACACTCTTGACTGTATCCACATTTTTACTGTATTATGTGGAAACCAATTCTTTAGCTTTCAATGAGAGAAATATTGATGTTCCAACATTTTCTTGCAGAAAACAATCTATGAAAAGGTTAAGATGAAAACACAAGATCTTTTGATTTGAGGCAATCAGGAAGCACATTATTAAAAAAATTTAGATAATAACACATTGACATAGAAACAAAAGCTATTTTTTTTTCATCCTGTTGTATTCCAGAAATGTCAAAAGTCCTGACATCCTATTTTGGTAAAGAAGTTATGGAAGACTAAACACATTTGAAACATGGATGTAATTTGAAATTAAGATTTTCAACAGGAAACTCTATGAAGCTTATGGGGGAATGAATGCATAGGAAGGGTAAGCCTCTTTTCTAAGCTAAATTGAGAGACTAAGCACAGTATTTTTTAGAAAAGCCTTGCTTGACACCATGTCCCAGGATCACTTCCACCAAAACATTTGTAATCCTCAGGTACTGCTCTCTGAAGGCAATAGCCAACCTTATTTAACATCTTGTCCTTGGAACCTATAGCAGTGATTGGCTTAAAGCAGAAAGAATGATAAATACTTACTTTTTTTTAAAATTTTACTTCAAGTTCTGGGATACATGTGCAAAACATGCAGGTTTGTTGCACAGGTATACATGGGCTATGGTGGTTGGCTGCACTTGTCAACCTGTCATCTAGGTTTTATGCCTTGCATGTATTAAGTATTTGTCTTAATGCCCTCCCTCCCCTTGTCCCCCACCCCCTGACAGGCCCCAGTGTGTGATGTTCCTGTCATGTGTCTCATTGTTCAATTCCCACTTATGAGTGAGAACATGATAGTGTTTGGCCTTCTGTTCCTGTGTCAGTTTGTTGAGAATGATAGTTTGCAGCTTCATTCATGTCCCTGCAAAGGACATGAACTCATTATTTTTTATGGCTGCATAGTATTCCATGGTGTAGATGTGCCACATTTTCTTTATCCAGTCTATCATTGATGGGCATTTGGTTGGTTCCAAGTCTTTGCTATTGTAAATAGTGCTACAATAAACATGTGTGCATGTGTGTTTATAATGGAATAATTTATAATTATCTGGATATATACTCAGTAATAGGATTGCTGGGTCAAATGGTATTTCTGGTTCTAGATCCCTGAGGAATCACCATACTGTCTTCCACAGAGGTTGAACAGTGTAAACCATTCACTTCCAACCGTGTAAGAACATTTCTGTTTCTCCAAAGAAACAAAACAAAACAGTTGTTGGTTGTAATGGCCATGTATATATATTAAGAAAAACTGTGAAAAGATTAGCTTGCTATTAGGTGAGTTGTGACTGAGCATGAATTAATAAGTAAATGACAATATTATTATTCCCAATAAAAGCCGGAAGAAATGAAGATGGCAGAGTGTAAATAGTCCCTTTTCAATTGATTATAAACACAGGATCATAAAGGCTAGGAGGATGGCAAAGTTTTAAGCAAAGGGAAGGTAGTGAACAGTGAGGTTTGAAATATTATTCAGAGACAAGTGGGATATTTTTTCCTGATTATTTAATGGAAGTCTGATGAAGCTTGGGATGAAACCACTTTTTCAGAATTGAATTGAAAGGATGAATGAAATTCTATACTTATATTTGTATGGAGTTAGAGAATTAACATTACAACTCTTTTAAAATACATGCTAACATTGTTTGCAAGCCTACCCTGTCCCAGGCACAGTAAATGTTTCATATTTAATTCTCACCACAACTTTCTGAAAAAAAATTCTTAGTTCCCTTTATATAATACATGGAGAAACAGGCAAGTCTATGGCAAAGCTTTAACACAACTTAAGACAATTAGTTCTAGATTCCATGTGGTTAATTTCTATGCTGCATCCAGTCAAGGGTGTAGCAGGAAGTGATGGTACATCTGTTTATGGATAGCTCTCTATTTGAAACAGAGTGAGCAGATAGTCAGACATGAGTAGGCAAGGAAGTCTCCTGGGAAAAGAAGCCTTGGAGACATTGTCTATTGATAGTAGTGTTTACTGACAGTAAAAAGGCAATGGGCTATACTGGCAACTTTTGGCATTGTGGTTGGGTTTTCTTTTAAGTCTTACAAAAGACTTATTAGGCCTTAGTCAGAGATATCCACCACACTAGGGATTTTTCCCACCAACAAACATGCACACTCTTCTAAAAACTCACCCTTGAGTAGTCTTTTGCTTATTATAATAGTAAAAAATACACCCCGGGTGGAGATTTTAGATGCTAATGAGACATACAACATGTGTACTAGCATGTGTAACCACAGAACGTGTGTGCCCAAAAAGACTTCCCAAAACAGCCCTTACTATACATCTCTTAACTAAATTCTTTATTCCAAATTAAACAAAATCTGAAAATTACCACACTTCCCAATAACAAAATCACTTGCAAACTGTATAAAAAGTAAGGGAGAGGGAAGGAGCAGAAGGAGGAGGAAGGTTAGGGGTCAAATCTTGGAAGAAATACTGAATGGCGCATTATTAATGGGAATCTTGAATGTATTATTCTCCCTTTCTCCTTGTGTGTTTGTATCAAGCAGGATCCTACCTTTCATAGCAGTCTTCTAGCTTCCTTTACCTTCATCTCTTTAAAATACCTAAATGAGATTTGAAGTAAAGAAAATGTCAGATCTGTATAGCAATTCCTGTCCCCTCTATAAACACAGTTTTCCTGAGGAAATCTATGGTTCATTCTGTACCTTATTTCCTTTTTCAATGGAATTTTGTTGAGGTAGATTTTTCATTATTGGAATATGGTAGAGGGTTAATGTCTAATTTATTAAAGGAATGCTCCTTTAGAAAGGTTCTTTATATTTGATATTCAAGATGGAGGTAAA